TCCACCTCGTGCGGTCCTCGCCGCTTCCCCACCTACCAGGGATCCACACCGCGGGGTCCTGGGGGGCCTGGGGCTTCTGCGGAGGTGCCCGGGAACAGCGCGCCGAGGTCGCCGGCTCCACCCCGCGGCCCAAGCCCTGGGAGGAAGCGCGCCGCCCCTTCCGCGTCCCGGGTGGGTGTGGGCAGTGACGTCACGGTTTCGGGGTCCAGCCCCGCGGCACCGGGAAAGTCCCAGGGGGCGCCCCGCACCCATGCCCTCTCTCCCCAGCCCGGGCGGTCACGTTCGGCAGGTGTGAGCACGCGCTGTGTGCAGGGCGCGGGGCGGGGAGGCCACAGGTCGTCTGGGCTGGGGGCGCAGAGGAGAAAGTGATTGCAAGGGTGAGATCAGCTCCGTTCGTGACCCGTGCTTCCCAGAAAGTAAACGCAGCAGCTGTTTTCATGTTTTATTTCTATTATTTATTTATTTATTTTTGAGACAGAGTCTCGATCTGTGGCCCAGGCTGGAGTGCAGTGGCGCGATCTCAACTCACTGCAACCTCCACCTCCCGGGTTCAAGCAATTCTCCTGCCTCAGCCTCCTGAGTAGCTGGGACTCCAGGCATTGGCCACCATTCCCGGCTACTTTTTCGTGGCTAATTTTTTTTTTTTTTTTTTTTTTTTTAAGAGACAGGGTTTCACCATGTTGGTCAGGCTGGTCTTGAACTCCTGACTTCAGGTGATCCACCCACCTCGGCCTCCCAAAATGCTGGGATTACAGGTGTGAGCCACCCCGCCCAGCCTCAATTTTTGTATTTTTAAAAGAGATGGGGTTTCACCATGTTGGGCAGGCTGGTATGGAACTCCTGACTTCAGGTGATCCACCCGCCTCTGCCTCCCAAAGTGCTGGGATTACCGGTGTGAGCCACCGTGCAGGGCCTAATTTTATTGATTGATTGATTGATTGAGACACAGTCTCACTCTGTTGCCCAGGCTGGAGTGCAGTGGCGCGATCTCAGTTCACTGCAACCTCCGCCTCCCAGGTTCAAGCGATTCTCCTGCCTCAGCTTCCCTAGCAGCTGGGATTACAGGGACCCGGCCACCTTGCCCGGCTAATTTTTGTATTTTTAGTAAAGACAGTGTTTCCCCGTGTTGGCCAGCTGGTCTTGAACTCCTGACTTCATGTGATCTACCTGCCTCAGCCTCCCAAAGTGCTAGAATTACAGCCACTGCACCCTACCTAATTTTATTATTATAATAATTACTATTATTTGAAAGGGGGTCTCCCCATATTGCCCAGGCTGCGTCAAGCTCCCAGGCTCAAGCAGTCCCCCCTCCTCGGCCTCCCAAAGTGCTGGGATTACAGTTGTGAGCCAACTCGCTCGGCCTGTAATTTTATTTTTATCACCGCATTAAATACGATCTAATAATCACAGTGATTTTGCAGCAGTGACAAGTGTTGGGGTGTGTTTCCAGTTACAATGCAATCTGAAAGTATCTGTGGCTTTTTTTTTTTTTTTTTTTTTTTTTTTTGAGACGGAGTTTTCGCTCTTGTTACCCAGGCTGGAGTGCAATGGCGCAATCTCGGCTCACCGCAACCTCCGCCTCCTGGGTTCAGGCAATTCTCCTGCCTCAGCCTCCTGAGTAGCTGGGATTACAGGCACGCGCCACCATGCCCAGCTAATTTTTTGTATTTTTAGTAGAGACGGGGTTTCACCATGTTGACCAGGATGGTCTCGATCTCTCGACCTCGTGATCCATCCGCCTCGGCCTCCCAAAGTGCTGGGATTACAAGCTTGAGCCACCGCGCCCGGCCTTTGTATCTGTGGCTTTTATTAGGGACAGATGGACAAAGTCCCAGGTCCTGCTGCTATCTTCATTCATAATTGAGGAAATGACAAATATCAGTTAGGGTCAGTGAAAAGAAAGATGTGAATTTTTCCCCCCATCAAAATTCAGACACACTGAACACCCCCAAGAGGTTTAGGGACCCCAGGCTGAAGTTCACCTAAAAGTTCTTATGGGGGCCAGGAACAGTGGCTCATGCCTATAATCCCAGCACCTTGGGAGGCTGAGGCGGGTTTATCACTTGAGGTCAGGAGTTCAAGACTAGCCTGGCTAACATGGTGAAAACATGTCTTCTCTACTAATAATATTTTAAAAATTAGGTGGGCATGGTGGCGCGCACGGCTGTAGTCCCAGCTACTCCGGGGGCTGAGGCAGGAGAATTGGCTGTACCCGTGAGGCAGAGGGTGCAGTGAGCTGAGATCCCGCCATTTGGCCAGGCTGGTTTCAAACTCCTGACCTCAGATGATCTGTCTGCCTCAACCTCCTAAAGTGCTGGGATTACAAGCGTGAGCCACTGTGCCCAGACTTTTTTCTTTTTTTTTTGAGACAGAGTCTTGCTCTATCATCAGGCTGGAGTGCAGTGGCTCAATCTCAGTTCACTGCAACCTCCGCCTCCCGGGATCAAAGATTCTCCTGCCTCAGCCTCCTCAGTAGCTGGGACTACAGGTGCACATCACCATGCCCAGCTAATTTTTGTATTTTTAGGAGCGATGGGGTCTCAACATGTTGGACAAGATGGTCTTAATCTTTTTTTTTTTTTTTTTTTTGAGACAGAGTTTCACTCTTGTTACCCAGGCTGGAGTGCAATGGCGCGATCTCGGCTCACCGCAACCTCCGCCTCCTGGGTTCAGGCAATTCTCCTGCCTCAGCCTCCTGAGTAGCTGGGATTACAGGCATGCACCACCATGCCCAGCTAATTTTTTTTTGTATTTTTAGTAGAGACAGGGTTTCATCATGTTGACCAGGATGGTCTCGATCTCTTGACCTCATGATCCACCCACCTCGGCCTCCCAAAGTGCTGGGATTACAGGCTTGAGCCACCGTGCCCGGCCAGATGGTCTTAATCTCTTGACCTCATGATCAGCCCACCTCACCCTCCCAAAATGCTGGGATTACAGGGGTGAGCCACTGCACCCGGCCTTTTTTTTTTTTTTTTTCCTTTTAAGAGGTGGGATTTCACTCTGTCACCCAGGCTGGAGTGCAGTAGCACCATCATAGCTCAAAGCAGCCTCCAATTCTGGCCCTCAAATGATCCTCCCACCTGAGCCTCCCAAGTAGCTGGGACTACAGGCACGCAAAACTGAGTTGGACTGTTTTTAATTTTTTTTTGTAGAGACAGGGTCTCACTATGTGACCCAGACTGGTTCCCGACTCCTGGCTTTAAGAGATTGTCCCAGTTTGGCCTCCCAAAGTGCTGGTATTACAGGCGTGAGTCACTGTGACTGTACCTTGGCGGTCATCTGATCAATGCCTTTTTTTTTTTTTTGGTCTGAGACAGGGTGTCTGTCAGCCGCCCAGGCTGGAGTGCAGTGTTGTGATCCCTGTCACTGCAGGCTTGACTTCCTGGGCTCAAGCAGTCCTTCCACCTCAGCCTCGGAGTAGCTGGGACTGCAGTTGCATGCCACCACGCCTGGCTAATCTTTTTAAAAAAATTTTCTTTTGTAGAGATGATGTCTTGCTATGTTGCCAGGTTGGTTTCAAACTCCTGGCCTCAAGCAGTCCTCCTGCCTTGGCTTCCCAAAGTATTGGAATTATGGGTGTGAGCCACCGTGCCTGGCTTGATCAATGTCTTAAAACAACCTTTTCTCCATCAAAATGGATTTGATGGTTCCCATTTTACAGATGAGAAGACTTGAGGCTCAGAGAAGGTAATGGCTAAAGCACCCAGAGTTCCAGGGCTGCAGATGGATCAATTTGATCACTTTCAGACAGGTGCAGTTGCCCCTCTTTTATTTATTTATTTATTCATTCATTCATTCATTCATTCATTCATTCATTTATTTGAGACAGAGTCTTGCTCTGTAGCCCAGGCTGGAGTGCAGTGGAGCGATCTCGGCTCAGTGCAACCTCCAATTCCCAGGTTCAAGCAATTCTCTTGCCTCAGCCTCCAGAGTAGCTGGGATTATAGGCACGTGCCATGCCCAGCTAATTGTTTTGTATTTTTAGTTAAAGACAGGGTTTCGTCACGTTGGCTAGGCTGGTCTCGAACTCCTGACCTCATGATCTGTCGCTCTTGGCCTCTCAAAGTGCTGGGATTACAGGTGTGAGCCATGGGCCTGACCAAACCCTCTTCTTCAATGAAAGAAACAGGCTGGGCGCCGTGGCTCATGCCTGTAATCCCAGCACTTTGGGAGGCCAAGGCCAGCGGATCACCTGAGGTCAGGAGTTCAAGACCAGCCTGACCTACATGGAGAAACCTTGTCTCTACTACAAATACAAAATTAGCCGGGCATAGTGGCACATGCCTGTAATCCCAGCTACTTGGGAGACTGAGGCAAAAGAATCACTTGAACCCAGGAGGTGGAGGTTGTGATGAGCTGAGATTGCACCACTGCACTCCAGCCTCAGCAACAAGAGTGAAACTCTGTCTAAAAAAAAAAAAAGCTGGGTGTGGTGGCTCACGCCTGTAATCCCATTGCTTTGGGAGGTGGAGGCGGGCAGATCACCAGGCCAGGAGTTCAAAACCAGCCTGGTCAACATGGTGAAACCTCATCTCTACTAAAAGTACAAAAAATTAGCCAGGTGTGGTGGCAGGCACCTGTAATCTCAGCTACTTGGGAGGCTGAGGCAGGAGAATCGCTTAAACCCAGGAAGTGGAGGTTGCAGTGAGCTCAGACCGTGCCACTGTACTCCAGCCTGGGCAACAAGGCACAACTTCGTCTCAAAAAAAAAAAGAAATTTATTTCTCACAGTACTGAAGGCTGGGAAGTCCAAGATCAAGACACTGGCAGGCCAGGCACAGTGGCTCACGCCTGTAGTCCCAGCACTTTAGGAGGACGTGGCGGGAGGATCGCTTGAGCTCAGGAGTTCAAGACCAGCCTGGGCAACATAGTGAGACCCTGTCTCTACAAAATAAATAAAGGAATAAATAAATTACCCAGCCTAAGGTATTTCTGTGACAGCAGCAGGGACACATGAAAACACACACACACACACACACACACACAGACAGAGCCTGTTTGCAGTTGTAGGTGAAGTTTATTAAGGCAATACTGAATGCCAGGGCGTTTCAACAAGGCGTGCCAGACAGGTCCCAGCACCCGTCTGCTCTACAGTGAAGCTCAGAAGCTCAGCGGTCCATCCCATCCCCAGGAGGCCCACTTAGACCAGAAATCCAAGTCCACGCACTACAGGCTGATATCCAGGGTCATCGGTGTGGACAAAGTGGGACAGAGACTATATCACCAATTTTTTTTTTTCTTTTGAGACAGAGTTTCACTCTTGTTACCCAGGCTGGAGTGCAATGGCGCAATCTCGGCTCACCGCAACCTCCGCCTCCTGGGTTCAGGCAATTCTCCTGCCTCAGCCTTCTGAGTAGCTGGGATTACAGGCATGTGCCACCATGCCCAGCTAATTTTTTTTGTATTTTTAGTAGAGACAGGGTTTCACCATGTTGACCAGGATGGTCTCGATCTCTCGACCTTGTGATCCACCCGCCTCGGCCTCCCAAAGTGCTGGGATTACAGGCTTGAGCCACCGCGCCCGGCTATCCCCAATTTTTAACAAGGAAAAAAAAATTCTGGTTGGGGGGCAACCTTCCTGAAAAATAATTTTCTCGAAATCTCTTTCTACTGACTGATAGGGTGAGGCTCAGAATATGCTTCTTCCAAGCTCAGAAAGGGTGAGAGATTGGTCAGTGGGGTGATGGCCCAGTTTTGAGAGCCTTAGCTTCCCAGCTGACAGCACAGAAGAGCTGGGAGGAGGGCTTAGAAAATCGGTTTGAAATGGGCCCCGGATTGAGGACTCCAGAGCTGTAGCACGGAAACGGGGCCGCCTGAGTCCTCTCCTCTCTCCCTATTTCTTCTCCTCTGGGGCTTTCTCAGTGATTCCGGGGGCAAAGGGCCCCACGAGCCACGTGACAGGTGTGTTCTGGGCCACGTATTCCACCATGTGGTCCAGGGCCTCACGGGCGCTGGCCACGCGCTCACGGCTCTGGGCCAGGATGCTGCTGGACAGGTCCTGGAAGGAGTGGATGCTGGAGAAGGTGGCTTGGAGCTCCTCCATCTGGCGGCGGGCCTGCTGCACCTGGTCCTTCACATTGCTGGGGAGGCCCTGGATGCTGGACCCCAGGGAGGTGCATGTGGCCTGGAGCTGCTGGGCAATGTCCCGGAACATGGTGAGAGCCCGGGACTCCACCTGCTGAGAAGGGAGATGGGGGTGCCAATCAGGACCACGTGTTTCAGCAAAGGCGATTGGAGCTGAAGCCAGGGAAAGAGGAGTTCTACCACTAACCTCGGAGAAAACCTTTCCATAGGCGAAACTTTTTCTTTTTTTAATAGAGTCTCGCTCTGTCGCCCAGGCTGGAGTGCAGCGGCGCGATCTCGGCTCACTGCAACCTCCGCCTCCCGGGTTCAAGCGATGCTCCTGCCTCAGCCTCCCGAGTAGCTGAGACTAGAGACACGTGCCACCCCATCTGGCTAATTTTTTTATATTTTTGGTAGAGACAGGGTTTCACAGTGTTAGCCAGGATGGTCTCAATCTCCTGACCTCGTGATCTGCCCACCTTGGACTTCCAAAGTGCTGGGATTACAGGCGTGAGCCACTGCGCCCAGCCCCCCCCCCTTTTTTTTTTTGAGATGAAGTCTTGCTCTGTCCCCCAGGTTGGAGTGCAGTGACACGATCTTGGCTCACTGCAACCTCCACCTCCTGGGTTCAAGTGATTTTCCTGCCTCAGCCTCCCAGGTAGCTGGCATTACAGGCGTGCCACCATGCCTGGCTAATTTTTGCATTTTTAGTAGAGATGGGGTTTTACCATGTTGACCAGGCTGGTCTTGAACTCCTGACTTCAGGTGATTTTCCTGCCTTGGCCTCCCACGGTGCTGGGATTACAGGGATCAGCCACCACACCCAGCCTCTTTTCTTTCTTTTTTTTTTTTGAAACAGAGTCTCACTCTGTCACCAGGCACCAGCCTGGAGTGCAATGGCGCAATCTCGGCCCACTGCAACCTCTGCCTCCCAGGTTCAAGCAACTCTCCTGCCTCAGCCTCCCGAGTAGCTAGACTACAGGCATGTGCCACCACGCCCAGCTAATTTTTGTATTTTTAGTAGAGACAGGGTTTCACGATGTTGGCCAGGATGGTCTCGATCTCTTGAACTCGTGATCTGCCCGCCTCGGCCTCCCAAAGTGCTGGGATTACAGGTGTGAGCCGCCGTACCCGGCTGCCTCTTTTCTTTTAATTACAAACAGGATCTAGCTCTGTGGCCCAGGCTGGAGTGCAGTGGTGCAATCACAGCTCACTGCAGCCTCCAACTCCTGAGCTCAAGTGATCTGTGATTTCAGCCTCCTGAGTAGCTGGGACTACAGGCACTCACCACCACGCCCAGCTACATTTTAAAAATTTTCTATAGAGCCGGGATCTCACTAACTTGCCCAGATCTTAAACTCCTAGGCTCAAGTGATCTGCCTATTTCAGCTTCCCAAAATGCTGGAATTACAGACATTTTTGGCACTAGTCAATTTTTTTTTTCTTGAGATGGAGTTTTGCTCTTGTTACCCAGGCTGGAGTGCAATGGCGCGATCTTGGCTCACCGCAACCTCTGCCTCCTGGGTTCAGGCAATTCTCCTGCCTCAGCCTCCTGAGTAGCTGGGATTACAGGCACGCGCCACCATGCCCAGCTAATTTTTTGCATTTTTAGTAGAGACAGGGTTTCACCATGTGGACCAGGATGGTCTCGAACTCTTGACCTCGTGATCCACCCGCCTCGGCCTCCCAAAGTGCTGGGATTACAGGCTTGAGCCACCGCGCCCGGCCCACTAGTCAATTTTTAAAGGCATAGAAAATCACCAAAGAAGCCGGGCGCAGTGGCTCAAGCCTATAATCCCAGCACTTTGGGAGGTCGAGGTGGGTGGATCACGAGGTCAAGAGATCGAGACCATCCTGGGCAACATGGTGAAACCCTGTCTCTACTAAAAATACAAAAAAATTAGCTGGGCGTGGTAGAGTTTGCCTGTCCTCCCAGCTACTCGGGAGGCTGAGGCAGGAGAATCACTTGAACCTGGGAGACGGAGGTTGCAAAGAGCGGAGATCGAGCCACTGCACTCCAGCCTGGGTAACAGGGCAAGACTTTGTCTCAAAAAAAACAAAAACAAACGCCGGGCGCGGTGGCTCAAGCCTGTAATCCCAGCACTTTGGGAGGCCGAGGCGGGTGGATCACGAGGTCAAGAGATCGAGACCATCCTGGTCAACATAGTGAAACCCCGTCTCTACTAAAAATACAAAAAATTAGCTGGGCGTGGTGGCGCGTGCCTGTAATCCCAGTTACTTAGGAGGCTGAGGCAGGAGAATTGCCTGAACCCAGGAGGCGGAGGTTGCGGTGAGCCGAGATCGCGCCATTGCACTCCAGCCTGGGTAACAAGAGTGAAACTCCGTCTCAAAAACAAAAACAAAAACAAAAACAAAAAACCCAACAAGGACATATCACTTCACAAACCCATTAGGATAGCTGGAAATGGTCAGATAATACCCAATCAGTCATGAGGTGGAGAAATTGGGCCGGGCGCGGTGGCTCAGGCCTGTCATCCCAGCACTTTGGGAGGCCAAGACGGGTGAATCACGAGGTCAGGGATTTGAGACAAGCCTGACCAAGATGGTGCAACCCCGTCTCTACTAAAAACACAAAAATTAGCCGGGCGTGGTGGCAGGTGCCTGTAATCCCAGCTACTTGGGAGGCTGAGACAAGAGAGTCACTTGAACCTGGGAGGCGGAGGCTGCGGTGAGCTGAGATCGCGCCTGGCGCCACTGCACTCCAGCCTGGGCGACAGAGCAAGACTCCATCTCAAAAAAAAAAAAAAAAAGAAAGAAAAAGAAAGAAACAAATGGTCAGATAATACCCACTGTAGGTCAAGAGGTGGAGGAATTGAAGACTCATGCGTGGCTGGTGGCATAGTCATTCTGGAAAACAGTCCAGCGGTTCCTCAAAATGTTAAACCATAGGAGTATCATATGACTCAGCAATTCTGGTGGTGGGTGTATGCACAACAGAAACGAAAGCATACGTCCACACACAAAGACGGGACACAGGCGCAGAGCAAAAAGTCCAAATGGCTCAAGTGTGTTTTGGTTGATAAATGGGTGAACAGAATGTGACTCATCCATACCAGAGAATGTGACTCAGCAGCCGTGGAAAGTCACAGGGCTCTGACCCAGACCACGGATGCCACACTCAGTTCAAGGAGCCAGACACAAAAGGCCACCCAGGGCCGGGCCCACAGTGGCTCATGCCTGTAATCCCAGCACTCTGGGAGGCCGAGGTGAGCAGCTCACAAGGTCAGGAGTTCGAGACCAGCCTGGCCAATATGATGAAACCCCGTCTCTACTAAAAATACAAAAATTGGCCGGGCTCGGTGGCTCAAGCCTGTAATCCCAGCACTTTGGGAGGCCGAGGCGGGTGGATCACGAGGTCAAGAGATCGAGACCATCCTGGTCAACGTGGTGAAACCCCGTCTCTACTAAAAATACAAAAAATTAGCTGGGCATGGTGGCACGTGCCTGTAATCCCAGCTACTCAGGAGGCTGAGGCAGGAGAATTGCCTGAACCCAGGAGGCGGAGGTTGCAGTGAGCCGAGATCGCGCCATTGCACTCCAGCCTGGGTAACAAGAGCGAAACTCTGTCTCAAAAAAAAAAAAAAAAAAAATACAAAAATTAGCCAAGTGTGGTGGCGGGTACCTGTAGTCCCAGATACTCGGGAGGCTGAGGACGAAGAATTGTTTGAACCCGGGAGGCGGAGGTTACAGTGAGCCAAGATCACACCACTGCACTTCAGTCTGGGCGACAGAGCGAGATTCATCTCAAAAAAAAACAAAAACAAAAACAAAAACAAAAGCAAAAACAAAAAAAAAAAGGGGCTGGGCGCCGTGGCTCAAGCCTGTAATCCCAGCACTTTGGGAGGCCGAGGCGGGTGGATCACGAGGTCGAGAGATCGAGACCATCCTGGTCAACATGGTGAAACCCCGTCTCTACTAAAAATACAAAAAACTAGCTGGGCATGGTGGCGCGTGCCTGTAATCCCAGCTACTCAGGAGGCTGAGACAGGAGAATTGCCTGAGCCCAGGAGGCGGAGGTGGCGGTGAGCCGAGATCACGCCATTGCACTCCAGCCTGGGGAACAAGAGCGAAACTCCGTCTCAAAAAAAAAAAAAAAAAAAGGCCATACAGTGTGTAATCCCATTTCTGTGAAATGCCCATGACAGGCCTATCCACAGAGGCAGGAAGCAGAGGCATGGTTGGGCAGAGGAGAAAACGGAGAGACGGCTGATGGGAAAAGACTTTCTTTTTAGGGGCATGAGATGTGACAGTGACCATTACGCAATGCTTAGAACTACTGAGGTGTATGATTTAAAAGGGTAACTTGTATGGTATGCAAATGATATCTCAATAAAACTGCTAAAAAACAAAAAGTAGAAGCCAGGCTGGGACAGTCTGGAAGAACTTTCTAGGCAGAAGTTGTAGAGCATCAGGGGAGACCACAGTTGAAATCAGAGAGCTAGGAAATTTCCTTGAAAATTTCCTCGGCCATGGACTGAGATGAGCACAGGTAGGGTTTGTGACCAGCCTGGCCGACATGGTGAAACTCCCAGCCTGGCTGACATGCTGAAACTCCCAGCCTGGCCGACATGGTGAAACTACCAGCCTGGCCGACATGGTAAAATTCTGTCTCTACTAAAAATACAAAAATTAGGCCAGGTGCGGTGACTCACACCTGTAATCCCAGCACTTTGGGAGGCCAAGGCGGGTGGATCACTTGAGGTTAGGAGTTCGAGACTAGCCTGGCCAAGATGACAAAACCCTGTGTCTACTAAAAACACAAGAAAATTAGGCAGGCGTGGTGGCAGGCGCCTGTAATCCCAGCTACTTGGGAAACTGAGGCAGGAGAATCGCTTGAACCTGGGAGGCGGAGGCTGCAGTGAGTAGAGATCACGCCACTGCATTTCAACTTGGGTGACAGAGTGAGACTTTGTCTCAGAAATAAATAAATAGAAAATACAAAAAGTAGCCAAGCATGGTGGCTCATGACTGTAATCCCAGCACTTTGGGAGGCCGAGGCGGGTGGATCACTTGAGGTCAGGAGTTCGAGACCAGCATGGCCAACAGGGTGAAACCCTGTCTCTACTAAAAATAAAAATAAAAATAAAAATTAGCCAAGTGTGGTGGTGCACGCCTGTAATCCCAGGTACTTGGGAGGCTGAGGCAGGAGAATCGCTTTAACCCGGGAGGTGGAGGTTGCAGCGAGCGGAGACTGCGCCATTGCACTCAAGCCTGGGCAACGAGAGCAAAACTCTGTTTAAAATAAATAAATTGGCCGGGCGCGGTGGCTCAAGCCTGTAATCCCAGCACTTTGGGAGGCCGAGGCAGGTGGATCACAAGGTCGAGAGATCGAGACCAACCTGGTCAACATGGTGAAACCCCGTCTCTACTAAAAATACAAAAAATTAGCTGGGCATGGTGGCGCGTGCCTATAATCCCAGCTACTCAGGAGGCTGAGGCAGGAGAATTGCCTGAACCCAGGAGGCGGAGGTTGCGGTGAGCCGAGATCGCGCCATTGCACTCCAGCCTGGGTAACAAGAGCGAAACTCCGTCTCAAAAAAAAAAAAAAATAAAATAAAATAAAAAATAAATTAATTAAATAAATGAATAAGTAAATAAATAAAACAAAACAAAATAGCTGGGCGTGGTGGCAGGTGTCTGTAGTCCCAGCTACTCAGGAGGCTGAGGCAGGAGAACTGCTTGAACCTCGAAGATGGAGGTTGCAGTGAGCTGAGATCAGGCCATTGCACTCCAGCTGGGGTGACAGAGTAAGACTGTGTCTCAGAAAAACAAAGTCATGGACTGGGAGATAGAAGAGATAGGATTCTGCCCACTTGAGCCTAGGGATCATGGGAAGGCGCCCACGTGAGGGAGGTAAGATCGTTTTTTTTGTTTTTTTTTTTTTTTCATTTGAAAGGTTATTCGGTCATTCTGGATGCTGCGCTTAGCAGGGGGAGAGTCTTAGGCGCCAGGGGGTCCAGGTCTCCCTGCCGAAGAGTTAGCGTTTATAGAGCTATTTATATCTTTATACATCTCACTTTCGTAGCCCTTACTATGTGCTTTAGATATGAACTCATTTCAGCTCGTAAAAAACTGATCTGTGGCCTGGCACCGTGGCTCACGCCTGTAATCCCAGCACTTTGGGAGGCCAGTGTGGGCAGATCATCTGAGGTCAGGAGTTCGAGACTAGCCTGGTCAACATGGCAAAAACCCATCTCTACTAAAAAAAAAAACATAAAAATTAGCCAGGTGTGGTGGCATGCGCCTGTAGTCCCAGCTACTCGGAAGGCTGAGACAGGAAAATCACTCGAACCTAGGAGTTGGAGGTTGCAGTGAGCCAAGATCGTGCCACTGCACTCCAGCCTGGATCAATCTCAATCAATCAATCAATCGATAATTGATCTGGGGCCAGGCGTGGTGGCTCACGCCTGTATTCCCAGTGCTTTGGGAGGCCCAGGTGGGAGTACTGCTTGAGGCCAGGGGTTGAAGACCAGCTTGGGCAACACAGTGAGATCCTGTCTCTACTAAAAACTTTTTTAAAAATTGGCCAGGTGGCTGGGCGCGGTGGCTCAAGCCTGTAATCCCAGCACTTTGGGAGGCCGAGGCGGGTGGATCACGAGGTCAAGAGATCGAGACCATCCTGGTCAACATGGTGAAACCCCGTCTCTACTAAAAATACAAAAAATTAGCTGGACATGGTGGCGCGTGCCTGTAATCCCAGCTACTCAGGAGGCTGAGGCAGGAGAATTGCCTGAACCCAGGAGGCGGAGGTTGCGGTGAGCCAAGATCACGCCATTGCACTCCAGCCGGGGTAACAAGAGCGAAACTCCGTCTCAAAAAAAAAAAAAAAAAAAAAAAAAAAAAATTAGCCAGGCATGGTGGCATGTGACTGTGTTCCCAGCTACTTGGGTGGCTGGGGTGAGAGGACTGCTCCAGCCTGCACTGCGCAGCCAGTGAGCCGTGACGGCACCACTGCAGTCCAGCCAGGACAACAGAGAGAGACTCTGCCTCAAAAAGAAAGAAATAGCAAATAAGGCTGGGCATGGCGGCTCATGCTTATAATCCCAGCCCTTTGGGAGGCTGAGATGGACGGATCACGAGGTCAGGAGATTGACAGCATCCTGGCTGAGACAGTGAAACCCCGTCTCTACTAAAAATACAAAAAATTAGCTGAGTGTGGTGGCGCACACCTGTAATCCCAGCTACCTGGGAGGCTGAGGCCGGAGAATTGTCTGAACCCAGGAGGCAGAGGTGGCAGTGAGCCGAGATCGCGCCACTGCACTCCAGCCTGGGTGACAGAGGGAGACTCCATCTCAAAAATAAATAAATAAATAAATAACATTATTTCATAAATTGACATAAAATCCACATACCATAAAACTCATTGTTTGAAGTGTACAATTCAGTGGTTTTTAGTATATTCACAAGACTGTACAAATACTATCTTCATCTAACTCCAGGATTTTTTTTTTGAGACAGTCTCCCTCTGTCACCCAGGCTGGAGTGCAGTGGCGTCATCTCAGCTCACAGCAACCTTTCCCTGCTCCTGGGGTTCAAACGATTCTCTTACTTCAGCCTCTGGAGTAGCTGGCCTTACAGGCACCTGCCACCAGGCCCGGCTAATTGTTTTTGTATTTTTGGTAGAGATGAGTTTTCACCAGGTTGACCAGGCTGGTCTTGAACTCCTGACTTCCAGTGATCTACCCACCACAGCCTCCCAAAGTGATGAGGTTACAGGCATCAGCCACCGAAACTGGCCAAATTATAGGGTATCTGCATCACTTTCAAAACCAAAAGAAACCCTGTTCCCATTAGCAATCCCTGTACATCCCGTCCCCCAGGCCCTGGCAAACCACGAATCCACTTCCCGTCTCTCGATTTGCCCATTCTGAGTGTTTCATATAAACAGAATCACACACTGTGGTGACATTTTGTGTTTTTTTGTTTTTTGGGTTTTTTTTTTTTTTTTTTTTTTTAAGACGGAGTTTTGCTCTTGTTGCCCAGGCTGGAGTGTAGTGGTGTGATCTCAGCTCACTGAAACCTCCACCTCCCAGGTTCCAGCAAATCTCCTGCCTCAGCCTCCCGAGTAGCTAGGAATGCTGGAGTGCAGGGTCGGGATCTCGGCTCACTGCAACCTCTGCCTCCTGGGTTCAAGTGATTCTTATGCCTCAGCCTCCTGAGTAGCTGGGATTACAGACACCTGCCACCACGCCCAGCTAATTTTTATATTTTTAGTGGACACACCATGTTTCACCATGTTGGCCACGCTGATTTCTTTTTTTTTTTTTTTTTTTTTTTTGAGACAGAGTTTCGCTCTCGTTACCCAGGCTGGAGTGCAATGGCGCGATCTCGGTTCACCGCAACCTCCGCCTCCTGGGTTCGGGCAATTCTCCTGCCTCAGCCTCCTGAGTAGCGGGGATTACAGGCACACGCCACCATGCCCAGCTAATTTTTTGTATTTTTAGTAGAGATGGGGTTTCACCATGTTGACCAGGATGGTCTCGATCTCTCGACCTCGTGATCCACCCACCTCGGCCTCCCAAAGTGCTAGGATTACAGGCTTGAGCCACCGCGCCCGGCCAGCCACGCTGATTTCTAACTCCTGACCTTGTGATCTGCCCGCCTCGTAATTTTTATGTTTTTTTTTTTTTTTAGTAGAGACGGGGTTTCAGCATGTTGGCCAGACATGGATTTAATGAGAGCTTAAATGTCTGCTGGGACAGGCAGTGAGGCCCAAGGGAACACGAGAGGCCAAGGCTGGGGATTGAGTGGAGGGCCGTAGAACATGAGTCTGAAGTTGCTGCTGGGACCCAGGTGGGTGAATATGAAAGACTCCAGGGAAGAGAAGAATCCAGATTTTTTTTTTTTTTTTTTTTGAGACGGAGTTTCACTCTTGTTACCCAGGCTGGAGTGCAATGGCGTGATCTCGGCTCACCGCAACCTCCGCCTCCTGGGTTCAGGCAATTCTCCTGCCTCAGCCTCCTAAGTAGCTGGGATTACAGGCACACGCCACCATGCCCAGCTAATTTTTTGTATTTTTAGTAGAGACGGGGTTTCACCTTGTTGACCAGGATGGTCTCGATCTCTTGACCTCGTGATCCACCCACCTCGGCCTCCCAAAGTGCTGGGATTACAGGCTTGAGCCACCGCGCCCGGCAAGAATCCAGATTTAAGTTCAATAAGACACAGCTTAGCATTTGGCAATGAGATGCACTGCTAACAAATACTCTCTGATTCAGAAATCATCCAGATCACCTGAGGTCAGGGGTTCAAGACCAGCCTGGCCAACATGGTAAAACCCCATCTCTACTAAAAACACACAAAAACTTAATTAGCTGGGGGTAGTGGTGGGCTCCTGTAATCCCAGCTACTCAGGAGGCTGAGGCAGGAGAATTGCTTGAACCTGGGAGATACAGGTTGCAGTGAGCCAAGATCGCACCACTGTATTCCAGCCTGGGTGCTAGAGCAGGATTTAAAAAAAAAAAAAAAAGGGCCGGGCGCGGTGGCTCAAGCCTGTAATCCCAGCACTTTGGGAGGCCGAGGCGGGTGGATCACGAGGTCAACAGATCGAGACCATCCTGGTCAACATGGTGAAACCCCGTCTCTACTAAAAATACGAAAAATTAGCTGGGCATGGTGGCACGTGCCTGTAATCCCAGCTACTCAGGAGGCTGAGGCAGGAGAATTGCCTGAACCCAGGAGGCGGAGGTTGCGGTGAGCTGAGATCACGCCATTGCACTCCAGCCTGGGTAACAAGAGTGAAACTCTGTCTCAAAAAAAAAAAAAAAAAAGGAAGAAGCCATACCCATGCATGCCGAAGAGCAGAAATCAAGGCTGGCTTCCTGGAGGAGAGGTGTCATGAGTTCCTGAAAGCATGTGAGGCTTGGGAAAGCATTCGAAGCAGGTGGGCCCATGAAGCCGAGGTGTACGGGGCAGCATCGGGACTCCAACCACCCTGGGTGACCCCACGGTCCCCCATAGATACCTCTGGCTTGGTCAGCTCCTTCTCGGGGCCCTGGAGCTGCTTCTGGTTCCAGCTGAGCCACATCTGGTGCAGCTTCTCCTGGCCTTCCACCAGCTTCTGATCAACGCCATGCTTGACATTTTCCATCTGGGGCAGGGGAGAGAGAGGTGAGGGAAGGAGGCTCCCCTGGGAGAGGCAGGATTTCAGAGGGTGCCCAGGGGATCCTTCTAGCATGACTTACAGGACGGTCTAGAAAAGAGGAACGGAGGGAGGAGAGGAAGGAGGGTTTCCAGGCTGTGGTGATACTGTGAGCTCTGGGGCCTTTGGTTTGACACCCTCATGCTCTGTGTGGTTGGTGCGGAGTGGCTGGCATCCCCTGTAGCTCCTCCCACTGGGTCAATTTCTCTGTTTGCAATGGAGCCGGGACACGTGACTGGCTTTGGCCAATGGGACATAAGCAGATGGAACCAGCGAAGGATTAAAAAATGCTTGTGGCCGGGCGCGGTGGCACACACCTGTAATCCCAGCACTTTGGGAGGCCGAGGTGGGTGGATCACGAGGTCAAGAGATCAAGACCATCCTGGCCAACATGGTGAAACCCCGTCTCTACTAAAAATACAAAAATTAGCTGGGCGTGGTGGCATGTGCCTGTAGTCCCAGCTACTTGGGAGGCTGACGCAGGAGAACTGCTTCAACCCGGGAGGCGGAGGCTGCAGTGAGCCGAGATTGCACCATTGCACTCCAGCCTGCGCCTGGCGACACAGCAAAACTCTGTCTCAAAAAAAAAAAAAAAAAAAAACAGCGCTTGTGACGAAATATTATTCAGCCTTCAAAAGGAATAAACCACGTTCACTTCCACAATCCCAGTGCTTTGGGAGGCCAAGGAAGGAGGATCACTTGAGTTCAGGGGCTCCAGAACAGCCTGGGCAACACAGTGAGACCTCATCTCTATTTTTTTTTTTTCTTTTTTTTTTTTTGAGGCGGAGTTTGGCTCTCGTTACCCAGGCTGGAGTGCAATGGCGCGATCTCGGCTCACCGCAACCTCCGCCTCCTGGGTTCAGGCAATTCTCCTGCCTCAGCCTCCTGAGTAGCTGGGATTACAGGCACGCGCCACCACGCCCAGCTAATTTTTTGTATTTTTAGTAGAGACGGGGTTTCACCATGTTGACCAGGATGGTCTCGATCTCTTGACCTCGTGATCCACCCGCCTCGGCCTCCCAAAGTGCTGGGATTACAGGCGTGAGCCACCGCGCCCGGCCTCATCTCTATTTTTACATCAAATTTAAGAGAAAAGAAAAAAAAAAGAGGCATGATGGTAGATATGCTCCAACCTGGGTGAAGCTTAGAGACTGCGGTGAGCTTTGATCATGCACTTCAGCCTGGGCAACAGAGTGAGACTCAGTCTCTAAAAAAACAAAAACAAAGGGCTGGGCGAGGTGGCTTACGCCTTTAATCCCAGCACTTTGGGAGGCTGAGGCAAGTGGACTACCTGAGGTCGGGAGTTCAAGACCAGCCTCACCAACGTGGAGAAACCCCATCTCTACTAAAAATACAAAATTAGCCAGGTGTGGTGGCGCACGCCTGCAGTCCCAGCTACCTGGGAGGCTGAGGCAGGAGAATCGCTTAAACCCGGTAAGTGGAGGTTGCCGTGAGCTGAGATTGCGCCACTGCACTCCAGCCTCGGTGACAGAAGACTCCGTTTCCAAAAAAAAAAAAGGTATAAGCCACTATACCCAGCCTGAGATAGTGTGATCTGTGGCAGCAGCCTCAGCAAAGGTGTGCCCAACCAGAGACAGTGCCGGGAGCAAGCGGGAACGGCCCCGCCAGACTGCAGAGGGGTGAGCAGTAGGCCAGTGAGCTCCCGATGGGTGTCTGCTGTGGGGTGAAGCCCCGGGACCCTCACCAGGCTTAGGGCCTGCGACAGCTGCAGCAGAGCCTCCTGTGCTCTCTGCCTGGTGGCCCGAAGCTTGCCCAGCGAGTGCTCGTAGGCGTGCTGCCGTAGCCTCTCTGACAGGGAGCCCAGACGCACGAAGTAGCTCTGTTCCTGCCGCTGCTGCTGCACGGACGCGATGTCGAAGCCATCCAGGGACGTGGCGAGGCGGGCTGTGGGGAAGAGCAGCAGGGTCTCCGTGAACACTGGGACATGCAGCTGGGTGTGTCCCACATGGGCGGTCCCAGGAATCACACTGCCCAGTTTATTTATTTATTTATTTATTTACGTATTGAGACACGGTTTCGCTCTGGTTGCCCAGGCTGGAATCATACCGTCCAGTTGATTGATTGATTGAGACGGAATTTCGCTCTCGTCGCCCAGGCTGGAGTGCAGTGGCACAATCTTGGCTCACCGCAACCTCCACCTCCCGGGTTCAAACGATTCTCCTGCCTCAGCCTCCCGAGTAGCTGGGATTACAGGTGTGTGCCACCATGACTGGCTAATTTTGTATTTTTAGTAGAGACGGGGTTTCTCCATGTTGGTCAGGCTGGTCTCGAACTCCCAGCCTCAGGTGATCTGCCCACCTCAGCCTCCCAAAGTGCTAGGATTACAGGCGTGAGCCACTGAGCCCAGCCTATTTATTTATTTCTTTAAAGACAGAGTCTCGTTCTGTCGCCCAGGCTGGAGTGCAGTGGCATGATCTCAGTTCACTGCAACCTCCACCTCCCGGGTTCAAATGATTCTCCTGCCTCAGCCTCCTGAGTAGCTGGGATTACAGGTGGGCACTACCACATCCAGCTAGTTTTTGAATTTTTAGTAGAGACGGAGTTTCACCATGTTGGCCAGGCTCGTCTCAAACTCCTGACTTTAAGTAATCTGCCCACCTCAGCCTCCCAAAGTGCTGGGATTATACGCGTTAGCCACCGTACCCTGCTGATATCCTAAGTTTCTTATTTGCAAAAATCCCAATCCCAATAAGGCAGTAGGATCCCTCCAGCCCAGAAGTTCCTGACGACACAGGGAGACCCCATCTTTTTTTTTTTTTTTTTTTTGAGACGGCGTTTCGCTCTTGTTACCCAGGCTGGAGTGCAATGGCACAATCTCGGCTCACCGCAACCTCCGCCTCCTGAGATCAAGCAATTCTGCCTCAACCTCCTGAGTAGCTGGGATTACAGGCACGTGCCACCATGCCCAGCTAATTTTTTGTATTTTTAGTAGAGATGGGGTTTCACCATGTTGACCAGGATGGCCTCGATCTCATGACATCGTGATCCACCCGCCTTGGCCTCCCAAAGTGCTGGGATTACAGGCTTGGGCCACCGCGCCCGGCCAGGGAGACCCCATCTTTACAAAAAATTAAAAAAAGAAAAATTAGTTGGGCATGATGGTGTGTGTCTGTAGTCTTTGCTACTCGGGAGGCTGAGGTAGGAGGCTCACGTGAGCCCAAGAGTTCCGGCCGCATTGAGCTATGATGGCAACACTGCACTCCAGCCTAGGCAACAGAGTAAGACGCTATCTCTAAAAGAGAAAAACAAAAAAATGTGGCCAGGCTTAGTAGCTCATGCCTGTAATCCCAGCACTTTGGGAGGCCGAGTTGGGTGGATCACGAGGTCAGGAGTTCAAGACCAGCCTGGCCAACATGGTGAAACCCCATCTGTACTGAAAATACAAAATTTAGCTGCCTGTAACTCCAGCTACTTAGGAGGCTGAGGCAGGAGAATTGCTTGAACCCGGGAGGCGGAGGTTGCAGTGAGCTGATATCGCACCAGTGCACTCTAGCCTGGGTGACAGAGTGAGACTCCATCTCAAAAAAAAAAAAAAAAAAAAAAAAAGCCAGGCGCAGTGGCTCCAGCCTGTAATCCCAGCACTTTGGGAGACCGAGGCGGGTGGATCACGAGGTCAAGAGATTGAGACCATCCTGGTCAACATGGTGAAACCCCGTCTCTACTAAAAATACAAAAATTAGCCGGGCATGGTGGTGCGTGCCTGTAATCCCAGCTACTCAGGAGGCTGAGGCAGGAGAATTGCCTAAACCCAGGAGGCGGAGGTTGCGGTGAGCCGAGATCGCGCCATTGCACTCCAGCCTGGGTAACAAGAGCGAAACTCCGTCTCAAAAAGAATAAATAAATAAATAAAATAAAATAAGGAAGAATATCAAATAAAGAGTGCAGGGAGTGCAAGTATATGACCGGGATGATTGCAGAGAGATATTCTGAACTGGCAGGAATGCCAGGATTGTCAGAGTGAAGTGAGATCTCAAGTTTAGTCACATATTTATGGGGGAGCGGAGGGAGCGAAGGGGGAAGAGGGCAGGGAGACAACAGGGCAGGTTCTGCAGAGCCTTGTGGATTGTGAGGAGGACTTGGGTTTTGACCCCAGGGAGGTGGGAGCCACAGGGGGCTGTGGCCAGAGGAGGGACAGGCTCTGACTCAGGTGCTCACAGGCACCCTCTGCTGGCTGCTGTGGGAAGGAGACTGTGGTGGGGGAGGGCGGGGACTGGGGACCAGGACAGAGGGGACCCCCATGCTGGTGACGAGATTCCAAGATGCCGGGAGGGGTGGCAGGGATGAGGTGGCAGTGAGGGACAGACCCAAGGCTGACAGTGGCTTCAGGGTGCGGAGGCCCGGGGAGGGGTCCCAGAGCAGCCTGCTGGCCACTCACCCAGCTCGGCGTCCGTGAGAGGCAGGTGGTTGTCTACCCACTCCTCCGACTTCCCCAGCACCGTGTCGACCCCACTCAGCACCATCTGACCCACGCGGGAGCCCATGACCGACTGGACCCCGCCGGTCACTACAGACTTGGTCTTGTCCACGCTGCTCTGCACAGCACCACGGGTGGCGCCCACCGCCTCCGACACTCGGGTGCTCACTGTGTCCTTGGCGCTGGCCACCATCTCTCGGGCCCCCGACACCTTGGACGACACAAGCTCCTTGGTGTCTGCCAGGACCTAGGAGAGACGACACCATCAGCGTCTCTGCCTTCCCGCCACACGTGGGCACCCCCCTGCTGTACCCCAACCTCTAGGGAGATGAAGGCAGGAAGCGCCCTCCCTCCGGGTGACTCTGAGTCTGGAGTCGTGGTCATGAGCTCATATTCTACAGCCAGACTACTGAGGCTCCGTCCCTGGCTTGGTGCTTCTCCGCTGTGTGGCTTCAGGCAAGCCACTCTACCTCTCTGTGCCTAGTTTCTTTCTTCTTTTTTTGAGACAGGGTCTCACTCTGTTACCCAGGCTGGAATGCAGCGACACAATCTTGGCTCACTGCAACCGCTGCCTCTGGGGTTGGAGCAATTCCCCTGCCTCAGCCTCCCGAGTAGCTGGGATTACAGACAACCCGCCGCGATGCCTGGCTAATTTTTCTGTTTTTTTTTTTTTTTTTTGAGAGGGAGTTTCTCTCTTGTTACCCAGGCTGGAGTGCAATGGCGCGATCTCGGCTCACCGCAACCTCCGTCTCCTGGGTTCAAGCAATTCTCCTGCCTCAGCCTCCCGGGTAGCTGGGACTACAGGCGTGTGCCACCATGCCCAGCTAATTTTTGTATTTTTTTTAGTAGAGACGGGGTTTCACCATGTTGACCAGGATGGTCTCGATCTCTTGACCTCGTGATCCACTCGTCTCAGCCTCCCAAAGTGCTGGGATTATAGGCGTGAGCCACCGCGCCCGGCTAATTTTTCTGTTTTTTTTTGAGACAGAGTTTTGCTCTTGTTGCCCGGGCTGGAGTGCAATGGTGCCATCTTGGCTCACTGCAACTTCCACCTCCCAGGTTCAAGCGATTCTCCCACCTCAGCCTCCCGAGTAACTGGGTTGCAGGCCAGCACCACCATGCCCGGCTAATTTTGTATTTTTAGTAGACACGGGGTTTCACTATGTTGGCCAGGCTGGTCTCGAACTCCTGACCTAAAGTGATCTGCCCTCCTCAGCCTCTCAAAGTGCAGGGATTACAGGCATAAGCCCCCGCACCCAGCCTGGGCTTTCGTTTTGTTTTGTTTTTTTAACTGTGTTGTTTTGGGGTTTTTTGTTTGTTTCATCAGAGTCTCACTCTGATGCCCAGGCTGGAGTGCAGTGGCTGGATCTCGGCTCACTGCAACCTTTACCTCCTGAGTTCAAGCAATTGTCCTGCCTCAGCTTCCCAAGTAGTTGGGCCTAAAGGCACCTGCCACTACACCTAGCTAATCTTTTGTGTTTTTAGTAGAGACGGGGGTTTCTGTCGGCCAGGATGGTCTCGATCCCTCGACCTGATGATCTGCCCACCTCAGCCTCCCAAAGTGCTGGGATTGCAGGTGTGAGCCACCACGCCCGGCCAAACTCTTGACTTTTTGAGAGGCGCAATGCTCTCTCAGCTCTGGGCCCTGTGAGTTTTTTTCTCCTCTGGGAAGAGTTAACTTTCCCCAGGTTCTGAGGGATGGTGGTGTTGCCAGAGCTCGATTTCAATCCAGGCAAGTGTGAGCACGGGAGAGACCCGTGAGCACAGGGCTCACAGCAGGCCAGGCACGGGGGCTCACACCTGTCATCCCTGCGCTTTGGGAGGCCGAGGCGAGAGGATCATCTGGGCCCAAAAGTTGGAGACCAGCCTGGGCAACATAGCAAGACCTCACCTCTACAAAAAATACAAAAATTGGCTTGGGCGTTGTGGCTCATGCCTGGAATCCCAGCACTTGAGGAGGCACCTGAGGTCAGGAGTTCGAGACCAGTCTGGCCAACATGGTAAAACCCCATCTCTACTAAAAATACAAAAATTAGCCAGGGCTGGTGGCGGGTGCCTAACTACTCGGGAGTCTGAGGCAGGAGAATCACTTGCACCCCAGGGAGCAGAGGTTGCAGTGAGCCAAGATCACACCACCGGACTCCAGCCTGGGTGATGGAGGGAGAATTCATCGCAAAAAAACAGAGCTGGCCGGACATGGTGGCTCACACCTATAATCCCAGCACTTTGGGAGGCTGAAGTGGGCGGATCACAAGGTCAGGAGCTCTAGACAAACCTGCCAAGATGGTGAGACCCCGTGTCTCCTAAAAAATACAAAAATTAGCTGGGCGTGGTGGCAGGTGCCTGTAATCCCAGCTACTTGGGAGGCTGAGACAGCAGAATCGCTTGAACTTGAACCTTGGGGGGCGGAGGTTGCAGTGAGCGGAGATTGCGCCACTGCGTGCTCCAGCCTGGGTAACAGAGTGAGACTCCGTCTCCAAAAACAAAGAGAGCTCCCAGCTGCTGCTCCGTTCAATGACCTTGAAGAATTCACCCTGAGCTTATCCCTTCCATAAACACAAGGAATGTTGGCCTCTCATGTTATCAGAGGGAGAGAAAGAGAATGAAAAGGCCTGGCCCTGAGATGGGGGCTCCCATCTTCCTGTGAACTCACCGGCATCCAGCCTCCCTTGGCCAAGCCCACGACTGGCCTTTGCTGATAAGGGGCAAGTGTGGCCTGGCACAGTGGCTCAGGACTGCAATCCCAACACTTTGGGAAGCCGAGGCAGGAGGATAGCTTGAGGCCAGGAGTCTGCTTTCTGTTTTTTGTTTTTTTTTTTTTCTGAGATGGAGTCTCGTTCTGTTGTCCATCCAGGCTGCAGTGAAGTGGCAGGATCTTGGCTCACTGCAACCTCCGCCTCCTGGGTTCAAGCAATTCTCCTGCCTCAGCCTCCCGAGGAGCCTGGATTACAGGCATGCGCCATCACGCCTAATTTTTTATTTTTAGTAGAGACAGGGTTTCACCATGTTGGCCACGCTGTTATCAAACTCCTGATCTTGTGATCTGCCCAACTCAGTCCCCCAAAGTGCTGGGATTACATGCATTAAGCATAAGCCACCGCACCCAGCTAGCCCAGGAGTCTGAGACCAGCCTGGGCAAATAGCAAGACCCCATCCCTCCAAAAGATTAAAAAATTAGCCGGGGGCAGTGGTGCACACCTGTACTCCCAGCTTCTCAGGAGGCTGAGAGCTGGAAGGATTGCCTAAGCCTAGGAGGCCGAGGCTGCAGTGAGCTGAGATCACGCCACTGCACTCCAACCCGGGCAACAGAGCAAGAGCTTGTCTCAAAGGAAAAAAAAGGTGCGCCGGGCACGGTGGCTCAAGCCTGTAATCCCAGCACTTTGGGAGGCCGAGGCGGGTGGATCATGAGGTTGAGAGATCGAGACCATCCTGATGAACATGGTGAAACCCCATCTCTACTAAAAATACAAAACATTAGCTGGGCATGGTGGCGCGTGCCTGTAATCCCAGCTACTCAGGAGGCTGAGGCAGGAGAATTGCCTGAACCCAGGAGGCGGAGGTTGCGGTGAGCCGAGATCGTGCCATTGCACTCCAGCCCGGGTAACAAGAGCGAAACTCTGTCTCAAAAAAAAAAAAAAGAAAAAAAAAAAGTAAAAAAAGAAAAGAAAAAGATGGAACCAGGGCACTCTACCACCAAGTAGGTCCCCGCCTGGTAAGAGCCCCGAGGGCAGACGTCGCGCGTTACCTTCTCAGTGGGCTGCTGCAGGATGGGGAGGTTCTCCTCCAACTTGTCCAGCCCCCTGTGGGCTAATTCGCTGGCTGATGCAACTGCCAAAAAACAAATTAAGCAAGATGCAAATGTGACTGTCGGAAGGTCACCCAGCAACGGTTCCACGGGCCAGGACTAAACACTGGGCAGACCCCCAACCCCCAACCCGGGGAATCAGCCAGGAGGGGGATTCAGTGCTCTCTGGGACTTCACCCACTCTGTGGCTCCAGCTTGGAGAGGATGGGCTGCGCCCCGCTGACAGCGGCTGCCGTGAGGGTCCGCACTCCCTTCTCGGCCGCGTCGCAGACGGTCTTGACATGCGGGTGGCTGTCCTTGGTGGACGCATAGGCCGCGGACACCATGTCACAGGTGGAACTGATGAGGGGCATGTTGGCCACGCGGTCCACCACACTTGGCTACAGAAGACAAGCAGCTCCGGCAGACCGGGCAGGGAAAGATGGGGGGCTCGGCCGGAACTCGGGGTGCCCTGCAGTTTTACTCTCACTCCCAGCCGGCGAAACGGCTCGGCTCACCCACACATTGCATTCCAGTTGGGAGCACAAGTCAGGAATCTTGGTACTTTGTCACATGCTTTTTTTTTTTTTTTTTTTTTTGAGACAGAGTTTCGCTCTTGTTACCCAGGCTGGAGTGCAATGGCGCGATCTCGGCTCACCACAACCTCCGCCTCCCGGGTTCAGGCAATTCTTCTGCCTCAGCCTCCTGAGTAGCTGGGATTACAGGCACGCGCCACCATGCCCAGCTAATTTTTTGTATTTTTAGTAGAGACGGGGTTTCACCATGTTGACCAGGATGGTCTCGACCTCTTGACCTCGTGATCCACCCGCCTCAGCCTCCCAAAGTGCTGGGATTACAGGCATGAGCCACCGTGCCCGGCTCTCACATGCTTCCTTTAACACAGCCCATGGATGTGAATCCGCCCTTTCTGTTTTTTTGAGACGGAGTCTCGCTCTGTCACCAGGCTGGAGTGCAATGGCAGAATCCTGGCTCACTGCAACCTCTGCCTCCCGAGTTCAAGCAATTCTTCTGCCTCAGGCTCCTGAGTAGCTGAGAATATCAGCATGTGCCACCACACCTGGTAAATTTTTGTATTTTTAGTACAAAAATACAGGGTTTCACCATGTTGGCCAGGATGGTCTCGATCTGTTGACCTCATGATCCACCCGCCTTGGCCTCCCAAAGTGCTTGGATTAGAGGCGTGAGCCACCGCGCCCGGCCTATGAGCCTGTGTTTTATCCCAACCATGTGCCAGGTGGTGATAAAGGACAAGAGTCCCGGAGCTTGGCTGTTAGGCAACTATGCCACCTTGCTCCCGGCCGAATAAACCCTTCTTCCTCCTATACTCGGTGTCTGAGAAATCTGTTTCCCGCGGCCGCTCCTGCTACATTTTGGTGCGTTGGCCGGGAAGCGAGTCTGGGATAGCAGACGGCGGGAAAAAGTCTCTTAGGTGGTTTGCTTAGCCCTGTGAAGCATCCCTGCAGGGGGACTCCTGCTCCCTGGGGTGACACATCCTGAGAGCGCTCCCGGGCAGGTATTTGCCTGGTGGAAAAGCTTCACCAGAGCGGAGCAGGGAGGCCCTGCAGACCGGATCCACCCAGTGGCTGAACGCTGAGGAGGAACGAGTATTTGGGGAATTCCGGACCACTGAATTTGGTAAGATTGAACCCCGGAAAGCAGCCCACCCCATTTTGGGTAGAAGTGTGCCCTGATCACCCACGGGTGCCAGATTGGCACTTTGGAAGGTAGCTCTCTCTGTGACCTTGGAAGCTTTTGCTTATGGTTTTGAATTGGAAGGAGAGCCATCGGATCTGTGTCTGTGTGTGTAGATGTGTCCAGCCGGACTCATCAGTCATAAAAGGTATCAGGCCCATTAGGGAGGGAATTAGAGACATGAGGCTGAGTGAAGAAGCCTCTGGGCGTTGCAAAAGGATTGAAGTGAGTGTAAATCGTAGAGTGCTCTGTGCTGGTCTTGCTAGGCGGGAACTGCTGTGAGTGAACTAACACTCTCCTAACTGTGGGAATTGTTTCTTTAAAGTGTTAATATGTGGAGGCCAAGGTGGGTGGATCACGAGGTCAAGAGATCGAGACCATCCTGGTCAACATGGTGAAACCCCGTCTCTACTGAAAATACACAAAATTAGCTGGGCATGGTGGTGCGTGCCTGTAATCCCAGCTACTCAGGAGGCTGAGGCAGAAGAATTGCCTGAACCCAGGAGGCGGAGGTTGCGGTGAGCTGAGATCACGCCATTGCACTCCAGCCTGGGTAACAAGAGCAAAACTCCATCTCAAAAAAAAAAAAAAAAAAAAAAAAAAAGGCTGGGTGCGGTGGCTCACACCTGTAATCCCAGCACTTTGGGAGGCTGAGGTGGGTGGATCACGAGGTCAAGAGATCGAGACCATCTTGGTCAACATGGTGAAACCCCGTCTCTACTAAAAATACACAAAATTAGCTGGGCATGGTGGCGCGTGCCTGTAATCCCAGCTACTCAGGAGGCTGAGGCAGAAGAATTGCTTGAACCCAGGAGGCGGAGGTTGCAGTGAGACGAGATCGCACCATTGCACTCCAGCCTGGGTAACAAGAGCGAAACTCCGTCTCAAAAAAAAAAAAAAAAAATATATATATATATATATATATATATATATATATATATATATACTGATGCTTGAGCACAGGAGGGTGAGGTTGTAGTGAGCTACGATCACGCCACTGCACTCTAGCCTGGGTGACTAGAGCAAGGCCCCATCTCAAAAAATAAAATACAGGCCAGACACGGTGGCTCACAACTGTAATCCCAGCACTTTGTGAGGCCAGGGCAGGCGGATCACTTAAAGTCAGGAGTTCAAGACCAGCCTGACCAACATGGTGAAACCCGGTCTCTACTAAAAATACAAAAAGTAGCCGGGTGTGGTGGCGGGCACCTGTAATTCCAGCTACTCAGGAGGCTGAGGCAGGAGAACCGCTTGAACCCGGGAGGTGGAGGTTGCAGTGAGCCGAGATGGCACCACTGCACCCCAGCCTGGGCCACAGAGCGAGACTCCATCTCAAAAACTATATATAGAAAATAAAATAACACGAGGAGGAGAGACTTGGAGTGGAAATTGTCTTCCTCGGAGGTCCCAAAGAGAAACTTCAGAGATGAGGATGATTTGGCTGAGGGGTTGGGGAGGGCAGGTAGTTTCAGACAGAACCCTGTCCCCCCAGGCCCTCCAAGGGCCTTTGAGATTCCCCCCCGCAGAACCAGGGACACCCGTGAGTGGTGTATACCTGGCTGAGGAATAAATCCCTCTGGCTCCATGAGCTGTGGGCAGATCCCGGGCTCTCCGCCAGAGCACCTTAGCATGGGAACCCTCATTGCTCAGGAGTCACAGGGTTGAGGCAGTCCCTGCTCCTGGTCCTTCCTCACCTGCTGTACCGGTTCTCCTGCTGTCACCTGGGTGCTGGCATCAGCCTCTGCCCCGTTGGCAGACATGGTCTCTGCAGCAGACACTGTGGATAGAGGAACAGATACAGCCTGCCTGGCCCCGCCTTCCGGGAGAAAGTCCAGACCCACGCTGCAGCTAGAAGACAGGGTTCACACCAACACCCCATGGTAACTTACAGCCATGCCTCTCAGTCCTTAGCAGGCACAAGGGTGACCTGTGGACTCTGTTCTATAGCAAGTGCTGATTCTTTTTTTTCCTTTCTTTTTTTTTATCTTTGGAGACAGAGTCTCACTATGTCACCTAGGCTGGAGTGTAGGGGCGCGATCTCGACTCACTGCAACCTCTGCCTCCTGGGTTCAAGTGATTCTCCTGCCTCAGCCTCCCAAGCAGCTGGGATTACAGGTGTGAGCCACCATGTCCAGCTAATTTTTGTATTTTTAGTAGAGACAAGGTTTCACCATGTTGGCCGGGTTAGTCTCGAACTCCTGATCTCGTGATCCACCCACCTCGGCCTCTCAAAGTGTTGGGATTACAGGCATGAGCCACCGCACCTGGCCCTTTCTTTTTTTTTCATTAGAGACGGTCTTGGTCGGGCACGGTGGCTCACACCAATAATCCCAGCACTTTGGGAAGCCAAGGCGGGTGGATCATGAGTTTGGGACCAGCCTACCAACATAGTGAAACCCCATCTCTACTAAAAAAATATAAAAATTAGCCAGGCATGGTGGCACATGCCTGTAATCCCAGCTACTCAGGAGGCTGAGGTAGGAGAATCCCTTGAACCCAGGAAGAGGTTGCAGTGAGCCGAGATGGAGTAAAAAAAAAAAAAAAAATCAGATATCATCTTGCTCTGTCACCTAGGCTGGAGCACAGCGGTGCAATCATAATCACAGCTCACTGCAGCCTCCAACTCCTGGGCTTAAGGGATCCTCCTGCCTCAGCCTCCCAAGTCACTAGGACTGCAGGCACCTGCCACCACCCCTAATTAATTTTTTCTTTTTGGCAGAGATGGTATCTTGCTGTGTTGCCAAGGCTGGTCTAAAGTTCCCGGTCTCAAACAATCCTCTTGACTTGGCCTTCCAAAGGGCTGGGATTACAGGCGTACAGAACCATGCCTAGCCTGACTCTGCATTTTTCTTTTTTTTTCTTTTCTTTTCTTTTTTTTTTTTTGAGACGGAGTTTCGCTCTTGTTACCCAGGCTGGAGTGCAATGGCGCGATCTCGGCTCACCGCAACCTCCGCCTCCTGGGTTCAGGCAATTCTCCTGCCTCAGCCTCCTGAGTAGCCGGGATTACAGGTGCGCGCCACCAAGCCCAGCTAATTTTTTTGTATTTTTCGTAGAGACGGGGTTTCACCATGTTGACCAGGATGGTCTCGATCTGTTGACCTCGTGATCCACCCGCCTCGGCCTCCCAAAGTGCTGGGATTACAGGCTTGAGCCACCACGCTGGGCGACTCTGCATTTTTCAAAGGCTCCCAGGCAGTGTTGACGCAGCTGGTCCCTGGGATTCACGTCAGGGAGCAAGGCTTGGGAACAGCCCCCAGGGCTCACTTGTGTCACCTGTACTCCAGAAAGCCAGGTGTGACCTAAAACCTCTATAGAGGACAATTTGCCAATCACTGTCACGTTCCAAGAGCCATCTTCCCCTTGACCCAGAAACCTCACTTCAGGGGAATATCCCACACCTGGATTTCCACATGGACAGAGGTGTGTGGACCTGCCACAGTGTGATACTGGAAACGTGGGTGCCCAGCAAAAGGGGAATAAGAAAACAACAAGTGTTAGCAGAGTGCAGTGGCTCACACCTGTAATCCCAGCACTTTGGGAGGCTGAGGCAGGTGGATCACCTGAGGTTGTGAGTTCGAGACCAGCCTGACCAACATGGAGAAACCCTATCTCCACTAAAAATATAAAAAGTAGCTGAGGTCGGGCACGGTGGCTCACGCCTGTAATCCCAGCACTTTGGGAGGCCGAGGCGGGTGGATCACAAGGTCAAGAGATCGAGACCATCCTGGTCAACATGGTGAAACCCCGTCTCTACTAAAAATACAAAAACTTAGGAGGCTGAGGCCGGAGAATTGCCTGAACCCAGGAGGCGGAGGTTGCGGTGAGCCGAGATCGCGCCATTGCACTCCAGCCTGGGTAACAAGAGTGAAACTCTGTCTCAAAAAAAAAAAAGTAGCTGAGTGTGGTGGCTAACACCTATAATCCCAGCTACTCAGGAGGCTGAGGCAGGAGACTCGCTTGAACCCGGGACGCAGAGGTTTTGATGAGCCGAGACAGCGCCACTGCACTCCAGCCTGGGAAACAAGAGCAAAACTCCCTCTCAAAAAAAAGAAAAGAAAAGAAAAGAAACAAATAACAAGTGTATCCCAATGCAGTGGACGAATGAGATTTAAATGTAACTGACATGGGCCCAGCATGCTGGCTCACACCCATAATCCCAGCACTTTGGGAGTCCAAGGTGGGAGGATCATCTGAGGTCAGGAGGGTGAGACCAGCCTGGCCAACATGGTGAAACCCTGCCTCTACTAAAAATACAAAAATTAGCCTGGCATGGTGGCAGACGTCTTAAAGTATAGTAATCCCAGCTACTCTGGAGGCTGAGGCAGGAAAATCACCTGAATTCGGGAGGTGGAGGTTGCAGTGAGCCGAGATAGCACCACTGCACTCCAGCCTAGGCGACAGAGCAAGACTGTCTCGGCCGGGCGCGGTGGCTCAAGCCTGTAATCCCAGCACTTTGGGAAGCCGAGGCGGGTGGATCACGAGGTCGAGAGATCGAGACCATCCTGGTCAACATGGTGAAACCCCGTCTCTACTAAAAGTGTAAAAAATTAGCTGGGCATGGTGGCACGTGCCTGTAATCCCAGCTACTCAGGAGGCTGAGGCAGGAGAACTGCCTGACCCCAGGAGGCGGAGGTTGCGGTGAGCCGAGATTGCGCCATTGCACTCCAGCCTGGGTAACAAGGGCGAAACTCCGTCTCAAAAAAAAAAAAAAAAAAAAAAAAGAAAGAAAACAAACAAAAGACTAAATGTAGCCTTATAATCCTAGCACTATGGGAGGCTGAGGCGGTTGTAGCATGAGGTCAGGAGTTTGAGACCAGTCTGGTCACCATAGTGAAACTCTGTCTCTACTAAAAATACAAAAATTAGCCAATCGTGGTGGCGAGCACTTGTGATTCCCAGCTACTTGGGAGGCTGGGCAGAAGAATCACTTGAACCTGGGAGGGGGAGGTTGCAGTCAGCCAAGATCACGCCACTGTACTCCAGCATGGGTGACAGAGGGAGACTCCATCCCCGAAAAAAAGAAAAAAACTGGGCTAAAGGTCGTGGCTGCCTTACAGACTGCTTTCCTGGGGAGTTCCACTGTAAGCGTAAAAACCTGTGACCTTGACTCTGAGCATTTCTTCCCAGAGGAAAGAGGCCCAGCCTCCTGGCAGCTTTGCTTTGACATTTCCTAAGCAGAACCCAGCAAATGATGTTTTGAGAGCACTAGATCTGGAGTCCAGACTGGGTTCTTTTTTATTTATTTTTCCTTTGTGTGTGTGTGTGTGTGTGTGTGTGTGTGTGATGGAGTTTTGCTCTGTTGCCCAGGCTGGAGTGCAGTGACGTGATCTCAGCTCACTGCAACCTCCGCCTCCGGGGTTCAAGAGATTCTCCTGCCTCAGCCTCCTGAGTAGCTGGGCTTACAGGCTCCCACCACCACATCTGGGTAATTTTTATATTTTTAGTAGAGGCGGGGTTTCACCATGTTGGCCAGGCTGGTGGTCTCAAACTCCTGACCTCAAATGATCTGCCCACCTTGGCCTCCCAAAGTGCTGGGATTACAGGACATGAGCCATCATGCCCAGCCCAGTCTGGGTTATAATCCCAGCTTGCCAACTCACTAGGAATAGGAGCTTGGGAAGGCAGCATTCCCTAGAAGCCTAGCTTGCCAGATCTGTGAAATGGGTACAAGTGTCTCACAAGAGCCGAGAGTCCCTGTGGAGTGGAGGAGACGCTGCTCTGGGGAAGCTCAGCTCTCTGCCTGGCACACATTAAGGGCTCCATAAACCATCTCACCGTGGCTGAACACAGTGGCTCACGCCTGCACTAAGGGTGGCAAGGCGGGCGGATCACGAGGTCAGAAGTTCAAGACCTGCCTCACCAACAAGGTGAAACCCTGCCTGTACTAACAATATAAAAATTAGCCGGGCATGGTGGCGCGCCATAATCCCAGCTACTCAGGAGTCTGAGGCAGGAGAATCACTTGAGCCTGGGAGGCAGGGGTTGTAGTGGGCCAAGATTGTGCCACCGCACTCCAGCCTGGGTGACAGAGCGAGACTCCGTTTCAAAAAAAAAAAAAAAAAAAATCCATCTCACCCTACTCTGGCTTCCATGAACAAAGAGGTGAAGCCAGGCAGGAACCAGCTTCCTACTAGATACAAAAGTCCCCCAACTGGGAAGTCAGGTGAGGAGACACACCCGCCTCTCATGACCATTGCCTAATCTATGCTCTTCACTTTCTGAGCTCACCTGGGCAGGGGGCCAGGTGATCAGGCATCGAAGTCCTGGCCTCGAGAGATTCTCAAGTCCCACTTAGGACTCAGGCAGCTTCCTCCCGTCCCCTTTGTCCACCATGACCTCCTGGAACTGGTTTAAACAAGGGCCGCCATTGCAGAAGTCAACACCCTCTGAAAGCCTTGAGGGGGTCAATGGCCTGTTTGGCCACTGGCTCCAGAAGGGGAGCTCCCGGCCAGACACAGCCATCCAGCAACTTCCCGGCATGCTAAGACTGACTTCCAAAACTCCAAGAGCCCCAGGTCCCACTGCCAGGCCCGGTCGGGACAAGAACTCCAGAGTTAAGGGGACGCCTTCCTACTTCTAAATCATCTCGCTGCCACGCCCACCCGAGGGAAGGCGGCAGGATTTGCGCAAGACCTCCCCAGAATCAGTTGGGGGCGCCAGGAGCTGGGGCAAACCCCCAGTGGCAAAACCAACTGTAGTGGAGGTGGCTTTGCGGTGGGGAGGGGGTGTCTCTGAAGACCCCGGAAGGGAGGGCGGAGTTTCTGCCCGCAGGAGGAAACGAACAAGCAAACTGCGTTTCCAAAAGCAAGCACACTGTTCCAAATATAGAGCCAACCCGGTGGTGGGGGCGGTATTTAGCCCACCCCCCCTCAATAGCACCCCTTCTAGGGGGGTGCCCTTTCGCCCCTCAAAAGTCCCAGGAAGTGAGAAGAGAGTTTCAAAGTCTGAGCTTGGTAGCAGAAGTTAGATTTTCCTGCGGGGGAAGGGTGACCAGCCCGGGCTGAAGACCCCTCCCCAGGCCGCAGAGTCCAGCAAATCCCACTCCCGGAAAGGCCCTCCAAGACCCCTCCGCCCCTGGGGTGCCCAGGATTCGGTGATTTCCCCCCCCAGCTCAATTGGGGCGCCCCCGCCACTCACCGCGGTCAGCGGGACGTCCCAGGCACAGCGGCCACGACTCCAAGACCAGCCTGGAAACCGTCCGAGCCGGGGCGGGGCTGGCTTTTACCGCGTCGTAGGGTGGGAGGGGGCTCCCGGGAGTGACGGGCCGGAGGACCAATCAGATTGAGGGAATGCCCGAGCCAGGCCCGCCCCCTCCTCTCTGCCCCGCCTCCACAAGCCCCGCCCTCTCCGAGTCACTGACGAAGTCCGGGAAGGACTCCGCGCCCTGCCTCTGGGGGGGAGTGGGCACTCGTGGACCACGCCCGTCCCAGCCGAGGGACGCCCCCGCCGCAGCTGAGGACCCTATGGAGTTGGCATTGGGAGGTGAGTGCCATCAGGAGGCACAAAACGGGTGCTGCGGTTCCCCAGGTCGCCCATTTCCCCTATGGCCAAACTGAGGTTGCCAGAACCCAGGGAGAGTTGCGGGGCGACCCCCGCCAGCGCGTCAAGGGCCACGCCCTCCACCCTGGGCTCCAACCCAGCCATATATATATATATCTTTTTTTTTTTTTTTTTTGAGACGGAGTCTTGCTCTGTCGCCCAGGCTGGAGAGCAGTGGCGCCATCTCGGCTCACTGCAGCCTTCAGTGGGAACCTCCCAGGTTCCAGAGATTCTCCAGCCTCAGCCTCCCGAGTAGCTGGGATTACAGGTGCATGCTACCTCACCCGACTAATTTTTGTATTTTCAGTAGAGACAGGTTTCACCTTGTTGGCCAGGCTGGTTTCAAACTCCTGACCTCAGGTGATCTGCCTGCCTCAGCCACACAAACTGCTGGGATGACTACAGGCATGAGCCACCTCGCCTGGCCTACGTTTTTTGTTTGTTTGTAGCACAGTCTCCCTCTGTCGCCCAGCCTGGAGTGCAGTGACTGGATCTCAGCTCACTGCAGCCGCCATCTCCTGGGTTCAAGCGAGTGAATGAGGCCTCAGCCTCCTGAGTAGCTGAGATTAGAGACACACCTACCACACCCAGCTAATTTTTTTTTTTTTTTTTTTTTTTTTTTTTTTAGAAGGAGTTTCGCTCTTGTTACCCAGGCTGGAGTGCAATGGCGTGATCTCGGCTCACCGCAACCTCCGCCTCCTGGGTTCAGGCAGTTCTCCTGCCTCAGCCTCTTGAGTAGCTGAGATTACAAGCACGCGCCACCATGCCCAGCTAAGTTTTTGTGTTTTTAGTAGAGACGGGGTTTCACCATGTTGACCAGGATGGTCTTGATCTCTTGACCTCGTGATCCACCCGCCTCGGCCTCCCAAAGTGCTGGGATTACAGGCTTGGGCCACCGCGCCCGGCCTAATTTTTGTATTTTTAGTAGAGACAGGGTTTCACCATATTGGCCAGTCTGGTCTTTTCTGTTTGTTTGTTTGTTTTGTTTTGTTTTGTTTTTAAAAAGACAGAGTTTCACCGTGTTGGTCAGGCAGGTGTTGAACTCCCAACCTCAGGTGATCCGCCCACCTTGGCCTCCGAAGTGCTTGGATTACAGGTGTGAGCCACCACACCTGGCCCAGGCTGGTCTTGAACCCCTGACCTCAAGTGATCTGCCTGGGCCTCTCAGAGTGTCAGGATCACAGGTATGAGCCACCATGCCTGGCCCAGCCCAGCTATATGAGGGACTTGAACCACCACAGTGAACTCATCCAGCCTCTGGCCTGACCTTCCCAGCATGAGACCACTTCATCCTCCCAGCACTATATTGTCTTTTTATCATCCCTATTTTGCAGAGGAGGAAACTGAGTCCCAGAGAGGATCACCCAGGGGCAGTGCAGGGGTCAGGCTCCAGGCTCTATGACTGCTGGATCAACCTCTTCCTGAAGCTGCCCCCATTTGGATTTTACCCCATTCCTCCCCCTCCCAAATTATTTATCCGATTAGTCTGTAAACCAAGATCTCAATCTCAGATAGCCCTAGGGGCCAGGGAGGAAGTAAACATTTCTGCTGAAGGGATGGCAAGGATTCCTGGCTTAGAGAGGCAGGGGAGAGCGGGCCCGGTGGGAGACCCACCTGGAGAATCACTGATCTGCAGGAAGTTCAAGCTGTAGACAGGTCTGCTCATTAGGGAACAATTGGCCCAAATGAAACCCAAATGGGGCTGTGTCCAGCCCAGGGCCACCAGTTTGCCACCTCTGCTAAATTTGAATAGAATGAGGCTTCTGGTAACTTTAGAAAGAACATGGGGAAAATTGAGTGTCTGTGACTGCATTTTTTTTAGCGGGGGTGGGTGAGGATATGATCTATGCTAGCACTGTCCGATAGAAGCTTCTGCAATGTTGATAGTGTTCTAGAATTCTGTGCCATCCAACGTTGTAGCCAAAAGCACCATGTGAGAAACTGAATGTTTAATTTTTTTTTTTTTTTTTTTTAAACAGAGTCTTGCTCTGTCTCTCCCAAGGCTGGAGTGCAGTGGCTCGATCTCAGCTCACTGCAACCTCTGCCCCCTGGGTTCAAGAGATTCTTGTGTCTAAGCCTCCCGAGTGGCTGGAACCACAGGCGCATGCCACCACACCTGGCTAATTTCTGTATTTTTAGTAGAGATGAGGATTCACCATCTTGCCCAGGCTGTTCTCGAACTCCCAGCCTCAAGTGATCCACCACCTTGGCCTCCCAAATTGTGGTGTGGGGATTACGGGTGTGAGCCACCGTGCTCGGCCTGAAGGTTTAAATTTAAATAACTTCATGCAGACAGTGAGATTCCCAACTGACTCTGAGACCCCATTCCATGACATTTGTAACGGGCTTTTCCCTTCTCATTCACTCATTCAACCTTATTTATTTATTTATTTATTTATTTATTGAGACGGAGTTTCGCTCTTGTTACCCAGGCTGGAGTGCAATGGCGCAATCTCGGCTCACCGCAACCTCTGCCTCCTGGGTTCAGGCAATTCTCCTGCCTCAGCCTCCTGAGTAGCTGGGATTACAGGCACGCGCCACCACGCCCAGCTAATTTTTTGCACTTTTAGTAGAGACGGGGTTTCACCATGTTGACCAGGATGGTCTCGATCTCTCGACCTCGTGATCCACCCGCCTCAGCCTCCCAAAGTGCTGGGATTACAGGCTTGAGCCACCGCGCCCGGCTGTATTTATTTTTTATTTTTATTGTTTTTGAGACAGAGTTTGCTCTCGTTACCCAGGCTGGAGTGCAATGGTGCAATCTTGGCTCACTGCAACCTCCGCCTCCTGGGTTCAAGTAATTCTCTTGCCTCAGCCTCCCAAGTGGCTGAGATTATAGGCATGTACCACCACGCCCAGCTAGTTTTTTTTTTTCTTTTTAGTAGAGATGGGGTTTCTCCATGTTGTACAGGCTGGTCTTGAACTTCCAACCTGAGGTGATCCGCCTGCCTCGGACTCCGAAAGTGCTGGGATAACAGGCCGTGAGCCACTGCGCCTCGCCAACCGTATTTATTGAGTCCTTGTGTTGAGGACAGCAGTGAGCTAAACAGATAAGGATTCCAGCCCTGTGACACTCACCACCCAGTGGGGGAGACGGACACGGATAATAATGTGAGTGAACTTTACGATGGGTCAGGTGGTGGGACGCCAAAGGAAGAGACGAATGTGGACGAATGTGAGGGCTGCAGGGTTTGTTTTTGTTTTTTTTTTTTTGAGATGGAGTCTCACTCTTGTCACTCAGGCTGGCATGCAGTGGCGGGATCTCAGCTCACTGCAACCCCCGTCTCCCATGTTCAAGCAATTCTCGTGCTTTAACCTCCCGAGTGGCTGAGACTACAGGCGTGTGCCACCACAGCTGGCTAATTTTTGTATTTTTTTTTTTTAGTAGAGACAGAGTTGCACCGTGTTGACCAGACTGGTGTCGAACTCCTGACCTCACGTGATCCACCAACCCTGACCTCCCAAGGGTTACTGGTGTGAGCCACCACACCTGGTGGGGCCACAGTTTTTAATAGGGTGGTCAGAGGAGGCCTTTCTGAGTGACATCCAAGAACAGAAGAGAGAGAGGTCAGGAGGGGACCATGTTGAGTTAGGGGGAACAGTATTCCAGGCAGTAGGCACAGTCTGTGCAAAGGCCCTGGGGCAGGACTACACTGTGCCTGTTAGAACAGCAAGGAGGCCCAGTGGCTGGAGTAGAGTGAGCAAGAGGGAGGGATGAAGGGAGGACAGGGATGGCTCAGAAAAGGGAAGTGACTCATCCAAGATTCAAAGTCAGTGGGAGAGTTGCCTGGTAACCCTCAACTTGTAAGTGGCCTTGAGTAACAAAATACCTCTGGTCTCGGGGACGAGTCCTTGTGATTTTGTTCCACATCCTTTTTTTTTCTTTGAGACATAGTCCTGCTCTGTCACCCAGGCTGGAGTGCAGCAGCATGATCTCGGCTCACTGCAACCTCCGCCTCCCAGGTTCAAGCGATTCTCCTGCCTCAGCCTCCCAGGTAGCTGGGATTACAGGTGCACACCACCATGCCCAGCTGATTTTTTTTTTTTTTTTTTTTTTTTTTTTTGTATTTTTAGTACAGATGGGGTTTCACCCTGTTGGTCAGGCTGGTCTTGAACTCCTGACCTCGAATGATCCTCCCGCCTCGGTCTCCCAGAGTGCTGGGATTATAGGCGTGAGCCACCGCGCCTGGCCTAAAAAATTATTTGTTCTTGATCTGAAATTCAAAGTTCAGCTGGGGCTGGGCGCGGTGGCTCAAGCCTGTAATCCCAGCACTCTGGGAGGCCGAGGCGGGTGGATCACGAGGTCATGAGATCGAGACCATCCTAGTCAACATGGTGAAACCCCGTGTCTACTAAAAATACAAAAAATTAGCTGGGCATAGTGGCAAGTGCCTGTAATCCCAGCTACTCAGGAGGCTGAGGCAGGAGAATTGCCTGAACCCAGGAGGCGGAGGTTGCGGTGAGCCGAGATCGCGCCATTGCACTCCAGCCTGGGTAACAAGAGCGAAACTCTGTCTCAAAAATGAAAATGAAGTAACTGCTGTTTTCTTGGCTATTTCATTATGTTATGCAGCAGCCGGATTCCCATTTTCTTTTTTAAATCTTTTTTTTTTTTTTGAGACGGAGTTTCGCTCTTGTTACCCAGGCTGGAGTGCAATGGCGCGATCTCGGCTCACCGCAACCTCCACCTCCTGGGTTCAGGCAATTCTCCTGCCTCAGCCTCCTGAGTAGCTGGGATTACAGGCGTGCGCCACCATGCCCAGCTAATTTTT